GGGCGTCTCCAACGCTAACATGTATATATGTGCGGCAAATGTCTGTTTTTCTATTCAGACATATATACGGAAGCTTGCAATCCAACGCTAGTCGCAAACGGCAGGCTCTGTTTCTCATACATTTAATCAAACACTTGTTGTGCAGCGTGCGGCGAAGGCCGGCAAGCTCGGGCCCAGTCACGCGCGCGCGGCAACGGAGGCAAGCGAGCTCGGGCGTGCGACCACGACGACAGGCGTGGCGGGCGCGGCCACGACGGAGGCAGACGAGCTCGGGCGCATGACCATGACGGTAGGGGCATTGGGCGTGGCCACAGCGGAGGCAGGCGAGCTCGGGAAGCGGCCACGGGCGACGACCATGGCGGCTCGCGAGCTCGGGCGCGCGGTCATGGGTGACGCGACGGACCCGGGCGATGACTGGCGCGGCTCCTGAGCTCGGGCGTGGCCTCACGGGCACGCGGCCATGGGCGACGACGGTGCAGCTCGCGAGCTCAGGGTGCGGCCTCAGATATGTATGTATCTCTACTATTAAATCTCTACTATTAAAGGGGGATCGAACGTCGTGATGGTTCGACCTCGCTCGATCCCCCTTCCATCGCACGCACGCAGATTTTTTTTCTTCGGAAGATATGAGGAAAGCCGCGACGCCTCGCCGCTCGATAAAAAAAGAAACAACCCTGGATCCCGCACGCACCAGAAACACGAAAAACCAGCCCACGATCCCACCCACGCCCCGCCCCCACCTCTCCCCGAGTCCTCGCTCCCGATCTTGTCTCTCTCCCTGCCAAATATTGTCGCCGCCAGAGAGAGGAAGGAGCGTAGCATAGGCACCGAGGAGGAAGGGGCCGCCTCGCTCGCTTCTGCTGACGCCGCTACCCCAATCGCCGTCGCCGCCGTGGCGGACGCAGCGAGCCCCAAGCTGCGGGACACCGGGACGCTGGGACAGGAAGAACAGGGCCGCATGAGCCGGAGAGGGCTCCGAGGAGAGCGTCCGCCCCAAATCCAACCCCCGCCCCCAGGTGATTCCGGTTCCGCCGCCCCGTAATCCGCTCGAGCCGCGCCTAACTCCATGGTTTATTGCAGGTGGAGTGCGTGCCGGAGAAGCCCGACCTCGGCGCGGACGACCCCCTTCTCCTCGGCCACCCCTGTAGCCAGGCGAGCTCCGGTTTCGCCGCCCCGTAGAGAAGGAATAAAGCCACGTGGGAAAGGCTACATGGGTAAAGTTAGTAATGTCTCGTCATCCTTTAGGTCGCCCTCACTGCTTCTACCGGTGACCTTTGGAGGACGGGGGACGTGGTTATCGTTGGTGGGAGGGAGCAGAGAGGCGACAGGGTTGAACATGTAGAGGGTGTGCCAGCAGGTCCTTGGGCGTGAATGCAGCGTCGTCAGACTTTACCAAGCTCAGCACATGTGCCATGAAGAAGTTCTTGTTTTCTTCTGTAAGCATTCTTCCTCTCATGATATCTCAAATCTTTGGTTATGTTCCAGTTATATGCTTTGGACTGAGATTGACAAATCATTCCTTGTGTCGCATCTTCTGGTATTGTGAAGAATCCATTCATAGCGGCCCCTCTCCTCTGTTAGTCTCTGTGTTAGTCTACTGGAGTGGCAGTGGAGACTCAATGGCTGTAGTGCACTGGCGGTGAAGACTCAATGACTGTAGTGCACTGGCGGTGGAGACTCAATGGCTGTAGTGCACCTATATTTTGGGGTGGACGTACATGTAGCCGACCCATGTGATGTAGCCATGGAGGAACCGGACGCCGGGTGGGGGTACGGGCGGCCTGGGCACAGTCACGGTTACACACTCATAGCAGGCTTAGGTGAGTGATGCTACCCTCAAGCCTTTCATTCTCGCTATTGCTTGTCGTGTTTTCCTCTTCTCTTTGTTTCTGCTTGCGTGATGAAACCCAAGAGAGGCCGCTTATACTATCGTAAGTTCAAAACTGACAACTCTATCTAATCTATCGGTAGTTCGATACTGCTACTAAAGCACTCCAACTGTTCAGTGGAAGAACAGACAAAAAGTTTGTTTTAATTATTTTTGCTTGATCTATTGGATTATATCAAGTTGTTCTTCTGCTATTGTAATTTATTTCAGTTCTCTACTTGTGATGTTGCCGTCTGTTTGGCCTCAAACTGTTTGTAGCTAGGAATAGCCACTCACTATGCCAAAAGAACCTGAACATGTTTGCTCACTTCAGTCATCGTCTGGTCATTGTGGTTCTTGCAATCAGCAGAAAAATGCGTAGCAGTTGCACTTGAGTTTCCTTCCGGAGAAAACCCTAACCCCGGCCACTGTCATAGCAGCCGCACACGGATTGCTAGGTGATTCCCTGCGTCATTTCCATGTTCCCAAAGACAAAGTATGGGTTGATTAAGTTGCTTGATGTTGGAATCGGTGAGGCTGGTCGTATTGGTGGTATCCTCCGATGTGCAAGCCTCTGTTCGTACGTCCATCGAGTTAGAACATTATTTCCTATGGGAGTCCTCACACAAATATATCACAATTCTATAACCCCTTTATTTCCTTCAACTAATTTGGCAATCACAATATTTAATCTATTTTTCTAAGCTTCGTAATGTGTTACTGCATGAGTTTTTTTGTAGTCTTAATAGCGTGTACATTTGATTTTCCACACACCAAGCTCCGGCGGAACATGGAAAGCAGATACCAATTGCTCTGAACTTTGCATATCAGAATCATATCAATTTTTCTAAAATGGGTGTCCTTCCTATTCTCACATTACATTTTTAATGCCTTGCAGAAGGACTTAGCCCCTTGAAAGGCGACATTTTTATCATTGTTGGGGGCCGGGGCCTAGCTTTGCACTGTCAATGTTACCGAGGTATCAATGACATCTCCCATGCCAACACTTTGATCCCTTAATTGTATAAAATGGAACTGTATGCATAGGGGGGGGGGGATAATGAAGGTTTTGTTTCACAAGATTTTAGGAGTATATTGTCAAGAAAAGTAACAGAACTGAGGTGCTAAGGAATTTTGCAACAATCCTGAATTGTACTCTTTGGCTTATGGCAATCATGAATTGTACTCTCTTCATTTGTGCTTCAACTTTGAGAAACAGAATAAGCAGGTCATATTTCTTTAAACTTTATATTATCTAATATGTATTTAGAAATTGGAATACAAAGCCCTTAATATTACAACAGGAGCATACTTGAGGGAAGAACTTACATTGAATATAATAATGGAATACCAATGCAGCGACTCTCCTTCCCTCCCTGTGCTTTAGTTATTCTAAGTTAGTTTCACTAAACTGAAACTGCAGTCATAGATCATTACAGGTTTTGTCTGAACTTTGCATCTAACTGTTACATATTTAAATATTAATTAAGAATGTGAGAGATTACAGCTGCAGGACTGATGTTATTCGCTCTCATTTGCAACTTTACGAATCCACTTAGGAGATGATGTTAATATATGCTTTGTCAGCAGAAGTCCTAGGTACCGAAGTTGGATTGCTTACAAAAAATCTATACAGTTGGATAGCTAAAATCCGACGTGTGCTGTATGATTCTAGGAAGGCAACACAACTTTCTCTTGTTGTCAACGAAGAACATTTTTCAGATTTATATTATTTTTCTTTGGATAGGTGAAGTGTTTTAGTTTTACAATGTATTTGATGCAAACATTTTTTTTGGCAAGAAGTATTTGATGTACAAAATCTCGAGTTCAGTCAAAGGAAAGATGTGCCTGAGGTACTTTGTTTATCCCCTTTCAAATATGATTACATGATACTTTATAATCCTTGTTCAATTAATGGTGTATTTTTATGCGTGGTACTATGAGAAATAGTGGATTTTGTGTATTGGGAGTATCATGGTTATAACATTTCTTTTTATATGATACAACGGGTCATTTTATGAGAAACACACAATAAGATTAATGTAAAACGAGGGAAAAATAAAAAATTCTTAGATAGACAGACATCGCATACACATTACCCTTGATACGGACATTTGTAAAAAAGAAAATGTAGATAATCAATCTCTCTATATAGCTTTTATTTATTATTCCGTGGCAACGCACGGGCACTCAGCTAGTTGTATGTAATGTATGTATGTATATGTGAGCCTTCCTCCTCAGAGATGTTTTTTGATTGATGATGCATATGCTGCAGGTCTCGTCTTTTTTTCTGCTTTGGCTTGTTTGATTCATGCAATTTGAGAACGTATTTAAGTTGCTAAGATATGATCTAAAAGAGCAGGATGGGACTATTGATTAAAAAAGGAGTACAAAATTTTATCACATGGAGCAACTATTTTGGTAGCGGCCCATAACAGAAACTTAATTCTGGCCCATGAGACTTACGAAGCTCCAGACCACGTACGACACGCACGAAGACGTACGAAACTTTTCATGGTAGATGTGAAAAGTACCATCTCAAATATGTTTTAAATTCAAACTAAAAGCGTAAAGTCTTGGATTCACAACTTGTTTATAGATGATTGTTCTATGTAGTTCCTATCTCATAATTATTTTGAAATTTTTCACGACTGAGAGTACGTACGCTTGGATGTGGAAGTACCGAGAGTACTCCCAGCATGGGGAACACGATACACAATATTCATGATCCGCAATATTGTATTACCTTTGTCCCAAATTACTTGTCTTTGATTGTCCAGATATGGATATTAGTATCTAAAAACTCCCTCCGTCCCAAAATAACTGTCTTAACTTTAGTACAATTTTATACTAGAGTTAGTAGAAAGTTAAGACACTTATTTTGGGACGGAAGGAGTATAAGACAGGTAATTCAGGACGGAGGGAGTACTTCAGACATATGGACGATGACCCTAAAAAGTTTCAAAAGGCAGAAGCAGAAATACAGAAAGTGACAACTAAAATGAGGCATTTTATTGGAAGATAAACCTGTACATTTTGGGGACTGGTGGCAAATTAGTGGAATAAATATGTACAGAGTTTTCGTTTTATCAGTGCCGCAGCACAGGCTATACATGACAGCGAAAGCAATTTTTCAGTTGCTTATGTCGAAGTACTTGGGATCAGCAGGGAAATCATGTTCCACCTTCAGCTGCAACAGAAATGGAATCACCAGATTAAATCCTCGAATTTAGCCGATCAACCAACAAGAGAGCAATTATTTATGCATAAGCTGAACGACAAACTTTAGCATAGGTCTTCTAAATTGCAAGCTGACGCTCGAAAAAAGAAAACCTGGAAGAAAGCTATCACTAGAGAACTTTCAAGATATTAGGATGGTTACCTCGCCCTCATCTGCATCCGAGTGCCTCTGAGGAAATACAACTCTAAGATCGTTGTAGAGATAGAATCTCCTATCCTCAGTCACCGTATTGCCGCTGTGCGGTACAGATGATGGATCGGATTTGCAACGTAGCATAGATTTTGAGGATTTCTTGGAGGCGGAGCAGAGAAACCGCAGGTGCAAAGCATAGCGGAGCACGCCTCCACCTGAACTGTCGTTGATCCTGGAAGACGCACAACATGATTTCTTCGCACCTGAGTGCACGTTGTCCATCTGACAGCAACAATCATCAGAATCAGTATTATTTTGCTTATTCCCAATAGAATTGGGTTTATCTGATTCCTTCATGTCAGTGCCCGATGAGTAACATTTTGTGTTTGCGTGTCTCTTTTCTGATTCATCAGTTGAGTTGCACGTCCGCCCCTGCCCGCAGTCTGCGAAGACAAAGAAACAATCAGAGACTCAACATATATAATTTGGATTCAACTCTTGTTATCAGGCTATCAGCTCCATTACATTCCAAGCATAGAGTTCCTCCTTGTGCAAGTTCACTTCCACATGAGACACACTGAGCTTTCGGGCCAACATTTGTGTCACTGGTCTTGCTTTCTTCTTTCACTATATTAGAGGGAGAAACAGTGGGAGACAGAGTGACCTTTTGCCGCATGAACGTCTGTCTCATTATACACAAGGGAAATAAGATGAGAAGGGATAGAGAAAACAAAAGGTGGTTAATGTGATTATATAGACACTAATCCTATGGAAAAAAGGAAAATATTTCTCCATGCATGCCATGGTACTTTTTAAGTTAAGGCATGCACTAAATGATGAATTACCTGTTCTGTGTCCTGATCTCAAACTTAGGCAACCCGCTTAGTTTTTTGTAGGGGAACAGGAAGAGAGAGAGATTACTCAGGACGTTGTCCATACAGATAACATGGTCAAAACCAGGTGGAACACTTGCTAAACAGAAAAAGTCTCCATGTAATCTAGCACGGCTGCCGTATTCCTCTCTCTTTCAATCTTCCTCGCTTCCTTAGGCAACCCGGTTAGTTATAGATATAGTGAGTATATGAGGACACACTATGCGCATGATTAGGTGTAAGGCTAAAGCTAAGGGCAAAAGTTATAGCTTGGAAATTGCAACTTGCAAGCAAGGAAGGACTAGATATAAAGCACATTTGTGTTTTGGCGCAATATCAGAATAATCTTTGGTTTTCTTCAATATATGAAGGATAAGCAGTCAACTTGTCATAATATTGTGTACCTTGGTTCCAGACGGCATGTCAGTTAAGTCGTAGTTGCAGAAGAATGTATGGAGTGGGGTCTTCTCAGGGTTGCTCACAACCTGATGAGACAATTGTTTAACTCAAGATGGGAACACACAGAACAACTCAATACAATTTCAAATAGTAGCTTAAATATGCATAGAAATACACCAAGTGCTGTGAGAAAAGGAAACCTAGCCATCACAAGTGATATTTGGTTTGGCACATTGAAACAGGTCTAGAAAGTATACAGAGTTGTGTTTTCTGTTGAAGAAAAGGCAGACAATTCAACATGACTTGTCAAATGCGATATAAAGGAAACACGACGCTTATTTTGGAACAGAGTGTAAAGCATAACTAGATAGAGAAGATGGAGTGGTTAATATAGACAAAGTATTTGCAAAACAAAATGCACAAGAACAAATATCATCATGAGGTAAGGGTCAAGCAATTTAGTACCAGTTGTATGCGCCCCTTAGCAGGGATGCGTAAGCGACTCTTTGCTGATCTTGAATTATTGTTACTAAGGCTTCTTTGGAGTTTTGGGCTATTGCTGTTGGTTGCACTTGTGGACAATCTACCAGCAAGATCAATAGAAGAATAATACAACAAGGAGCTATCCTCGTCGATGCTTGCGACTGCAAATGGAAGTTTCTGAGTTGGGGGAGAGAAGCTACCGCCAACAATATTCAGGACAGCTAAGAAACCATCAATTGTCTGCATCCACAGAGAATTAAGGAATGAAATTCAACAGTCAATACCCTCGAATTGTAGTATATACTAGATCATGAACAGAAAGAAATATTAGACCTGATTATCTTTTCCATAAGAAAGTCGACCAGACAAAAGGGATTCCTCAAAGGAGACAACTAGTGACCTCCTTGCAGGGAGACTCAAACTCCGTCCATAACCAACTCGCGGAAACGTAGGTGAAGATTCAGAACCCCAGTTTTGATATCTTCTACATGAACTTCCTTTAGGGGTCATAGTATCATATTCATCATGTAATCTGTTAGTTTCCTCTAACACATCTAGCATCCCAATTCCATCAAATCCTCCCTGTTCCTTCAAATCTACGAAATCATTTTCAATATCTTTCATTACATGCCTTGGAGATTCTGTAGTCTTGACTTTATGAATACGTCTAGGGCTGAGAGGAGACAGTGAGAGCGGAGAGTGTGCTAATTTTGCACTGGCAGCTAGATGATCATAATAGGATAACGACTCCTTGTTCCCAAGTAAAGGGCCATCAGTGAAGTGAATAGAATTAATCCTATTGACATCAAATTCTGAAGTCCAATTGGACCATCTAGGGGTCGGACATGCCTGTGACTCAAAAGAACTGAGGCTTCCAGTGTTTACCATTTTATTATCTTGTAAGCCAGAACTGTAGAGTTTCTTACTTGGCTCGGAATGCTGAAATCTAGCATCACCAGAAGCAATATTCAGTAAATTACCATGGAACTTTCTAGAGAGCACATTTTTCAATGGAGACAGCAGTCCTTTCCTTGCCTGAAGTTCATCCTGATCACATGGTGAACCAAAATTATGACTGGCCACAGATGGACAGATTGTATCCAGTTCTGCTGTATCAGGACCTCCAATACAGTTTGATTCAAAGCCCACAACCCTCGTTATGGGCCTACGGACAGCAGGCTGCAATTTATGAGAAGATCTAGAATTTGCATCTCTAAAATCATCAATTCTTAATCCTTGGAAGTCGGTGAGTCCATCAAACGCATGGCTGTCTCTAAAATATCTGTTTGATTCATCCGGGGAATCTGATGCAGTCTGTCTACTGAAATTGCCAATCGATCGATATGAAGCCTTGCCATTTGAGCTTTCTCGAGGAAGCCCATCCAAATCGCAGGCACCAACACCATTGGTACGAGAGGGGCTTGACACAGGTGTCCTCGATCCTGTAGAAACATCCTCCCTGACTGAAGAAACTTGGGGTAAACCCATCGCAACCAATCTCTGATACTCAGCGAGAAGGAAGACCCCCAATCTGTAATCGCTCCTGCAGTACACCTATCCAGTTCCTTTCAACGGCCCTCTAAGTATCTTGCCATTTCAGTGTCCAAATCGATGGACTAGACAAATCACCAATTGAAACCAATCACCACCGGAAGGGCAGAACCACACTGGCATTTCCGATTCAGACCCATTGGAAGCAAGGTTACCATCTTGCCACTACTAATCATGCCCCACTGGCTACCACAACTGGAGATGACACAAAACTTGGAGCCTGAGCAAGCAACCAGGGACCTAGCCAAGGATGAACCATGCAAGGAGATCACGTCACAGCCCTGCAGAAATGAATTGAAGAACATTGATTCAGCAAACTGATGAGCAGACAAAGGCTCAATTGATCCTATCACTCGGCTACACCCATGAATACAAGTAAAATTAATCCCACTACATGACCAAGAGAAGCTCAATTGCTACTAACTATTCTTACACCCATCACATGACTAAACCCATGAATAGAAGGAGTTGGATTAATCCCACTACATGATGAAGAGAAGCTCAATCAATACTGCGTGCTACGGTTACTATATTTAGCTCAGGAGAAACAAACTTGTCAGTTTCTATATCTTCCGCCTGATGCATAGAAATAGCAAGTTCCCAACCAATGATTGCACATCCAACCCAATGCTATCTACTCCACTCCCATACTGCCCAGACCAGGCACAAATGAAGGCATGGTCAGTTAATCCCTGAACAAACGGACATGCATGGACTAAACCTCAAAACTACCGAAATCGGGAGCACGGCAGCAGCCAAATTCGAGGAAATGAGAGGCCCAAATTTGGGGACGGATTGCGGAACCGTCACCGATCGAAACGAAGAACCAAATTCCCCACCGATAAACGGGCAGAGCCCACCAGAGCAACGGGAATCGCAGCAATACAAAGCCGGGGATAAAGGTTTACCTGCCTATCCATCCATGGAGCCAAATGGATTAATCAACAGCGGCACGGCCCGTGCCGCCGAATCGAATCGAGGTCCTCCGAGATTGAGGGCCGCCTCGATCCGACCACCCGGAACCAGCCCGCCCGAGGAGAATCCGCACCTCAATCGCGCCGGCCGATTTCCGCCGGGCTCTCGACGTCCACCTCCGCCGGACCTTCTCCTCTCTTGCGTTCTCCTCTGGCTGCTCTTCTTCGCTCCCCTCTATCGCTTGCTGCTCCAATGGTGGGTATATAATTCCGCAAGCAACTAACCAGGGGTCCTTGATTAGGCGCCAGAAATGATGATATTTTCTAGAGGGGAAACGCTGGGTTGGGTTGGGTTAGTACTAGCAGCGGCAGCGGCATCTGGATGTTTCCAATCAGCTCGGCTGTTTTGGTTTCGCTTTTGTTCTCGTTCGGTTGCCTTTTTTTTCTTTCCGATTCCGAGTGGATAAAATAAATAAAATGTTCTCGCGCCTCGTTTTGTGGTTTCTGTTTTTAACATCCAGGCCCCTCACGTCTCGCAGATTCGGTTTTCTGAGAGTCTGATGTGGCCGTTGAGCGGTGGTGGTTAATGTACCGACTTGTGTAACAAATTCTGTTGCTGCCCATAGGACATTTATTTCTTTCGCAAAATACCTACATCTATTATAAAAGCTAATTAATGAAAAGTACAAAGCACATCCAACATAACAAAAATTACATCGAGGTGCCTAGATAGCTGAACGACCACTACTGCAGTCAAAATGAGCCACCGACGTGTCATTTGTCGCAGCTCCCATACTGGACCCATCCTAGACTTATCGATGACAGTTGAAAAGTTTTCATGAAGTTGCCTCTAAGGACCAGCACCATGTAAACCATAGTCGCCCTTGTTAAACCCTTGAGTCAATCTGAAGTGCCTGCACGCACGCGCGAGAAATCATAACATCAGCTTCCTAAGGAGACGGTAGGAGCCTATACCGAAGCTTCGTCAACTTCGTTAAGATGGATGATTTCGAGGAGGATCAAAAAACCCCACAAAAAAGATATGAATCTTTTCAGGGGCCTGTTTGTAATTTCACGGAAGAAAATGGAGACTGGATTCAAAACTGTGGACTGGACCTACTACTGCTTGGGCGGCTAAGATCCGTTCCACTTTGGTATCAAATCTAAGACCGGGCAGACTGAGAACCTGGTCCATTTCTTCCCAATGACACTCCCTGTCCATGATGCATCATCTTTCTCCCGCTTCCATCTTTTTTCCTTCCCTCGGAGTAGCTTTGTGATACCTGAGCGATGGACTATTCGTAGGATGATGTAAGAATCTTTTACAGTACTGTACAATAGAAGGCTAAATGGATCAGAGTAATGTTGACCACGACAGAAGATGTCATTTGAGACTTAATCGTGGCACAGGACCGTCCAGTAGCGGCAACAGCAGCAAAAGGCGATGTGGATTAGGGACGAGAGAGAGCGGGCCTGATCCACAGCACCACACACCAATGATGGGCTAGCAGGAATGATATTATCTACAGATTAGACAAAGCAACGGTCGATCGCTATCTCATACGTGTGCCACACCACAATCCGCTAGTTTCCAGCATAAGAATCATGGTCCATGATGAGGCAAGTTGCTCCACATGTGGTCGAGCTTTTCTTTGGGTCCGATTCCACCTGTTGCTTTCCGCGTATATACTATAGCTGGCAGAACCTTGGAGACTGCCTCGCCATCGCCCTGTAGAATCAGCTTCTCAGCCCTTTCTAGGCGTCTGCCACACGTAACACTGTCAGGCACAAGTACTGTACGCGTGTGACGGTGTGAGTTCACCAGCATCGCTCCACTCCGGGAAACATTTCAAAGTTTCAGTTCTCTCTGCGATACTGATCACACGAACAGATCAGCCCAAGTCAGCAAAATCGTGTACTGGTACCTGACCGTCTGTAATTCAGTTACATACTCCCTCCGTCCCAAAATAAGGGTCTTAACTTTGTACTAGCTCTAGTACAAAGTTGTATTAACCTTGAGACACTTATTTTGGAACGGAGGGAGTACATGTTATTTATACATCCCTCAGTGATGTAAACCTCCAGAGGTTGCATGATTCAAATGTATAGGGATGAACCATGAACTAAATGCAGTCATCCGACTGCCGCCGACAGATAGGAATCAACAATGCATGCAGATCTACAAAATTAGCTCACACGAGTTGGGGGATACAATTATGCGATTCGGTACATCTTTTCTGGACAAGGAAGGAAGAAGAAGGCCGAGAAACAAAACTTGCATTTGTGCTTTAGGCGTTTGCCGCCATGGATGATGATCTGTAGCAAGCTCGCTTTGCTGCACGGACGATGTCCTCAACCTGCAAGCATGCCCAAAACGTTAGTGAGGCGAGGATAAGAAATAAATTATCCCTGCATGATCCTGCTTTCTCCTAATATGACTAGGTGAATACTGATACTTCAACCTACGTCTAATATCACCATCTACTTCCAAGATGATTGGCTGAACCGGCAGAGTAAATTTTCCCTGAACAATTCAAAATCATGCATATGTAAGCCACCTTTCCTATGCGGCTCTGCCTACTCATCTCCCAAGAAACATTTGAAGAATCGGCTCCCCATGTCCAACATAATCTCGTAAGCTAAATCCTAGCAGTCTAAAGAGTGATGATGTATGCCTACAGAGATTAAAAATATGGGTGGAGGATCCTATCGCTGAAACATATTAACTGTCTAATGCCCAACCTTCAAATTTTCCAAGCTATCAGTAACTACGCTGGTGACAGATACTCTGTCTACAAAAGAAATTGTTGTGTTTCATTACTGCAGTCTCATTCATTACCCACTAGGAAAATTCCCAGCTCAACAGGGCGCAAGTCTTCATATTTTACGAGCTACTCCCTCCGTCCTAAAATAAGTGTCTCAACTTTGTACTAACTTTAGTACAAAGTTATGCTAGAGTTGAGACACTTATTTTGTGACGGAGGGGGTATTAGCAAACTAGGTTCCTGGTTTCCTGTCAGACACACTGCCCCCCCAAAACAAAAACTATTTCCTCACTGATGCCCCACTAGGCAAGTACCGGCTTAACAGTACATATGATTCACTAAATTCCTAATAACAATGGAGCACGCTGACAATGAAAAAGTATGAAACCAACACAAGGCAGTCCAAATATGAAAATAAAAGCATCAATATCCCCTACTTTCAGAAAATATTGCATGGTAGCCAATCAATAATACTGGCTACAGATAAAGGTTGCGCGGTAGCCAACCAATTATACTGGCTATAGATAAAGATTCCATGGTAGATGGATGAAGGCAAGAAATTAAAAATCATGGTAAAACTGTGCTATTTCCAGTACTACTCATGAAAAATGCTTTGCCATTATCGATTAGGCGAACTTTCTCAATAATATCTAAAAAAAATGGGACCCAATGGTTTGGGATCAATGTAAAAGAAGCAGCAAGTGCAGACCTGTGGAACTGCCAATCTTTCAAGGTTTGCCGCATAGGGCATCGGTACATCAGCTCCGGCAATCCTCTCAACTGGTGCATCAAGATACTCAAAGCTGTCCTCCACTACGGACATGCTGCAATGAAGATACATCTGAGAACCCAACACCCAAGCATAGGAGAGAGAGAGAGAGAGAGAGAAAGAGAGAGAAACCATATTTCAGCACCAACACCATGTTGTGGAAAGCCTTCTTCAACGGTAACCAATCTGTTGGTTTTCCTAACGGATGCATTGATAGCAGCTCTATCCAATGGTCTAATTGACCGAAGGTTGATCACCTGTTAACAGATATTATAGTGGATAATAAGAAAATACTGATGGATGTAGTTAAAAAAGAACGTTGGTCACATAACTGTACTACATAATATGTTTTGCGAAAAGTAACTACCTCAGCACTGATTCCCTCCTTGGACAGTATCTCTGCAGCCTGAAAATGACTGAGCATGAGAATGTAACCAGAACAATAGGTCAAGTATTTTATGTACAGTGGGGAAAAAAATCATTGATGCTACTATGCTAGTAATTAAACAAATGCACTCACGTAAGTAAATCATCTCAAACAGAATCAATTTCTCAAAATGTCATCTCACTATGGCTGGCCCAATTTTGAACTTCTCTAAATTTGGACATTGAGACAATTATTAGAAGGGGGTAGCCCATACAATTCAACACACGTTTGATTAGCTCTTTGGCTCAACAGGCCGTGCACCACTAACACGCCAATTATGCGTACAGCCTTGACCATATACATGGGCTGTACGTGTACTATACTACGTATAGTCTAACATGCAGGACCTTCTTTTTCAGCGCCATCACACCAGGCCCTGAGGCATAGCACCTTATCATCAAGATCATAGATGCCCTGAGTTCATAGCAGTCTATGCTCTAACGTGGAATATGGTGAAGCAGAATCAGCAGGAGGTTAGTGCTGAAGAACTCAGGGTTGAGCTGCATGGTCTTAGCAGCACTATTGTTGGCACTGAGCTACAGCATTTATGACTATACAATTCATTTAATTAATGCACTGATTCATGTCAAGACAGATTTTGCTGATTTAATGAATGCTACTTCATGTGAAGGCTGGTCTTCTTTCTTTTATGCGATTATGTGGCATGAATGTGTTAATTTCGAATCATGACATATCGTAGGATTCTCAGAACTGAAGATCATGAAGATTGAATCCTGAATTGTTTTGACACTATAGGCAAGATCATCTTGAATTTAATTCTTATCATTCACTTCATGTAGACATACAAGACGTGTAGGTCCTGAATGTCACAACTGCATTCAGTAGTCACTTAGATATTATTCAAACTCTGGAATCCCCAGCTTTCTCAAAACTCGTTAAAAGAATTAACTTGGTCAGAAGTCACCCCTCTAGAGCAACTTGATTATTCCAAGAACTGACAAAAGTGAAACCAAATGACCTTAATTTTGTGTGCTTGCTGTTATTGGCTGGACTGAGACTGCAGCAAAGCGCCAATTGTTATTTCTTAAGGTGGAAGTAATGTTGGCCCTGTGTCATTTTCCTGTTGAAGCCTGGGCTGAAATAGTACCCCGGGCAGGCGGGCACACACCACTAATATCGCACGGAAGTCTTATACCTCAGTCTATCACAAAAGTTTCTGCATGATCCGAACCCAAAGGTAATATGAAAGGGACCACTGGGGACAATTTTGCAGGGGTTCAGGGTGAACAAGTCTTTCACAGTCAAGGTGACACTATATTACACAACCAACCATTCTTTGCATAAAAGAAGTATCTAGTTAATGAACAAACCATTAGCTGCTAATAGTACTATTACGTTATTTGGTCAAATTTCACTAACGAATTTAAAACAAGAAGGCCTAATGGACAACACAAGTAAACACAGCTATTAGCGACTTCTTCCGTTTACTTAAAAGTACTGTAGTAACACACCTGAAGAGCATACCCAACCATCTTAGAGAATGCAGTAATTGTAACATCTTTTCCTTCCCGTTCTATCTGCAGATCAAAAAACAAGGTGAAACCAAAAAAAAAAGCTCTTACTGGCAATCCATACAAAAAATCTGACAGAACTAAACTCTTCCCGACCACTAAAGAACATACCTTAGCTTTGCCAATTGGGACACTGAAGCTAGAATCAAGTACTTCAGCCTTAATAGGAAACGATTCACCATAGCTGTAGAGAAGAATACATGATTCGCTGAAATGACAACTTGAATGTAGAGAATGTAACTAAGTAGGACAAGATATTACATACAGTAGTTCATTTTCCAGGAAAACAACAGGGTCTGGATCCCTGATTGCTGCTTTTAGCAAGCCTCGAGCATCTTCTGCAGAATAGGGAGTTAGGACCTTCAATCCTGGAACATGGGCATACCATGCTGCATAGCACTGCATACGAAGTCAATTAGTACCGAAGTAAATTAGACTACTAGGGTTCCACTACTTGGATAAATAGATAAAAAAATGTTAAATAAAAAACGATCCAAAGATGCTATGCATCTTACGATCATGAAGAGCCAGAAGCACACTAAAGTTTACACCTCTTGCAATTCAATGCATTTATTGATAGTGAGATGAATAAGTCATATTCTGACAGTTTTGGCTTTCATTCTACTACCAACCGAAGAAATGGAGTAAGAATGACGAACAACACATGGATAGGTAGAGGTAAGTTTAGTGCTATAGGGTTTTGCCATGCTCCCTTCAAAACGTGTGCTCCTCTGTACATACTGTTCATCTCTCTTTGTCTATATGAGAAGGCAGTTTTCATGGATTTCTCAAAGAAAATAGGTAGAGATAAGCTTTAGTCAAACCTGCGAGTGTTGAGCACCAACTCCAGCAGCTGCCCCATTTGGTCCTCGAAAAACAATAGGAACGGATATCTGACCAGCTGACATGTAGTTTGATTTGGCAGCTGAATTGATGATGTGATCAATTGCCTGGATGTGCAAAACAGTGCTATTAGGCAAAAACTTTGACTAATGCAATACACAGTTGTTGTATGTAGACATATTCGGCAAGATTTATATACAGAATAAATGAAAGTAAATTTATGGACAGAGTTATGTACAAACGGAATACAAACTGAGTGCAACAAGAAAGGCATACTAGCAGCCGTATGCGATTAATATGTAATTATGGGGATCAAAGTTTTGTCCGTTAAGAGAGACCTGAAGGATTGGAGTATCGACTAAGGGCTAGCTATGGACAGGGGTGCGTGGAAGCTTGCTATCCATGTGCCAGAGCCATGAGTTGGTTGCGAGATCTTATGGGTTTCACCTCTAGCCTACCCCAACTTGTTTGGGACTAAAGGCTTTGTTGTTGTTGTTGTTGTTATGGGGATCAAAGTTTTAATCAAAAATAGTACTCCCTCCATCTCATAATGTAAGACGTTTTTTGACACTACACTAGTGTCAAAAAAGTCTTACATTATGGGACGTAGTGGTAGTAACTAATGGGTATCATTTCAATATCCAACCATTCCGACTAATATGTGAACATGCAGACAAGGAAGAACTATGTCTTAAAACAAAGTTCTCAAATGTCCAATAGGCAACATGCGAAACAAACTATGAGTAACAGATTTTTATTACTCTTGTACTTGCAGTTAAGCATAAACTATACTGTGGCCATCAAGTTCTGCATTCTGCTTAAACTACCAACAGGAAGTAAATGTAATCTTGATCATCAAATTTTCAGAAGGATGATACTGTTCCAATGAGTACTTTCCAATGTCAGTTTCTAGTAATCATATTTCTGTAGAAGAATAAAACAACAATTGAAAAGAATATTCCCATCCCCTTAAACACAGCATGATATAGAACAAATCAAGAGCAGACTACACCACCACTCATCACAAGGGAAAAATCAGCATGACCTACCATAATTTAAGCTGCTTAGAAAACTAACAGCGAAAAATACAATGCAGCCATATAATAAGGTTATTTGACAAACTGGCATTTTCAGGAATTTCGAAAATAAAATGACTGACCTGCATCGAGAAGTTAAATGTCATGAACTCTACTACAGGTCTAAGACCTTGGTAGGCAGCACCAACGCCAATGCCAGTAAAACCAGCCTGAACAGAACAATAGCATATTAGTACTGAAAACTCCAAAACTGATCACACAAATCTGACGGCTTATGAACAGACACCAATGATTACTTTTAAGGGTTCAAGTTTATAACCTCTGTGATTGGTGTATCGAGAACCCTGTCGGGACCATACTTGTCCAGCAAACCCTTTGTTATCTGCAAATAACATAAAGGATATAAATGCTAATAGTATTCACACAAATTCAGTTGCCACGAAGTAATGAAGAAATCATGAGTCTTGAGAAGAATTCACTCACCTTGTACGCACCTTGGTACTCTCCAACCTGCCACGTAAATGACAAGTATTAGAGAGCACAAAAAAAGGACACAAAATATATAACTTGTCTTCCAGGTGGTATCATGGTACCTCTTCTCCCATTAAGAAAACAGAAGGGTCGGCAGACATCTCCTCGTCAAGAGCGGAATTCAATGCTTCACGCACAGTCATCTAAAGAGCAAAAGAAGAGGAACTGCATAAATTTCCCACACAAAATCACAATGTAAGAAGAACATAAAATTACTTCTAGAGGCGAACACAACACTACAAAAATTCAACAAGCAAGCATATTAAAACAAAATAATAAGATACATGTTGGGTTCTTTCAATCTGGTGAAATCAGAACAACCTAAAATACCTCTACACCAGCTGTCCAGCAACCTGCTTAAGACAATACTGCTATGCATTTCTGAAAACAGTACCGTTCAATTCACTGAACCCACTGTCATCGCACAAAAGGTATGTCCTCCCACCTGGAGACGTGGACAACAAAAACGACTGATTCTCCTGAACGATCAGCCATTTCCAGAACTGAGCTGCACAAATCGAATAAGGTTCCATACAATCGACTCCCTTTACCGTTTAAAGCCCATGACTGACCAATATGCAACCACCCCTGCCACAGCCCACAGGATCAACCGTCTCGAAAAACTAACCCCACCTAGCTGTACCATTCACCACCCCAGAAAAAACAAACAAACAAATAGTAATAGATTAATCAATCACACCGACGACCGTGCGACGCCTCACAACACGAGCTAAGCTAGGGTTCCGGCAAAGCGCTCACCTCCTTCGGGGTCGCGGAGTAGCTCCTCGCCGCCGTTGCCGCCGGGCGGAGGGTCTGCATCAGTTGCCCCAGCACCTGAACCGATCGAAACACGCGCACGGATCAGAGACAAGGCCGACAGGCAAGGACGGAAGAAAAACATATTCTCAGAGGAGCGCACGTACGCATCCGGATCTCCTCGCGGCGCCCAGCATCGTCGACGCGATTGGCTACCGACGGGGGTGGGGATTGGGAGGGGAGATTTGTGCTCCGGGGAAGGTGGAGGAGGGGGAGTTGGGTCCGCCTTTTGTTTGTTTGGTGGGTTCGTGATGAGGATGGCGCCGTGTTGAGGCGGCGCGGGAGGGTGAGGGAGATGGATGGAGAGGACGCCGCCGAAATTGCCGCGCCGACTTGCATCCTGCGTTTATCTGCTCTCCTTGTTATATTTTGTCGAAAGGACATCGAGGAAGTTCGGTATTGAATGTATGGTGCTTCAATAATATAAGTGTACACAAATTATTGCCTGTAATTCCTCATTTTAATATAAGATGAAAGTAATAAATTACTGTATATATTAGCAACACCGATCCATGGTGTCGAATTTTTTTTTGAAACGAGGCAAAGATGTGCCATTTTCATTGATTAAGCAGAAGAGAGTTGTCCGGTTAATTAACGGAGACTCGGGCGAAAACCGTCACAATACGCCCATCGAAAGGGCACACCGGCCGACCTGGCACCGACAAGACCACACACACCGTCGAGGACAGGACACCATTGAGGTTGCCTGCAATGTCATCGTCATCACCTCTCCCAGAGCAGGTGACTCCGACTTAGCCGCTGACGACCCGTCAAGACCCCTCCGAACGAACGACACCCGAGGACCTCATCGGCCAGAGTCAAACAGTCGGCCAAGACGTCGAAGACCAGCAGCTCCGATTTTGTTGATGTGCTTCACGGGAGAAAGTTGCAAGCCTCGCACCGACCTAATCCATCGCAACCTCCGGAGAGCACGTCTGTTGAATCCGCCCTCATGGAGTCGTCGTTGCCGCAAGGGCCCCGCCACGTGCAGCTCCGATTTCTCTGTCACAGCGAGAAGCAAACATAGGCACACCCATTGGTGCACCGGACCGCTGACATCAGAAGGACCAGCCGCGACCCAGCTCCACGCGCCACCATCGTCGTTACCGCACAAGTCGCAACGACAACACCTCGCATCACCGGTTGGGCACCAGCCAACCTTGATGTCGTGCACGTCCAGCCCATGGAAAGCGCGAAGGGGAACAAGTATCCAAGACGACGCCCCCAAGGGGGGAAGCGACGCGGAAACGACGCCGTCGCCCGACCATTGGACATGGCCATAGGCTTTCACCCGAAGACGAACCCCGAAGGTGGACAAGGCCAGAGAGCTCCACGACGACCCTTCAGGAAGGAGAAACGATGCCCACGGGCGTCGCATTGTCGGCGTCGGCAGAAGCCACGCAGGCTATCACCCAGAGCACTAGCCTCCACACCCCCACGCAACCAGCCACTAACAGGGAGCCTGTAGCTGATCCGTAAATTCGCTGAACCGCACACCCCCGCTGTGACGCCCCAAGACCGACGCTCCAGATGCTGCCCAGTTATTTTGTTATCGCCATGTGTTTCTTTTGTGATTGCTCTTTTATTTTTGCATTGCATCATGTCATCATGCCAGCATGTCTTTTAATTTTTAAAACTCAACTAAATAAATTGTATGGATTTTTCGATCCATTTAAATCGAGGGAATTCACTTGTGATTTCTCTTTATAACATATTAAAGCCTCACAATATTATTAGGGAGCTATAATAAAATTATTCCATTTATTTGGAATTAACCATAACCCACCTGCAAAATATCCCATGCTGTTGTTATCTCAATTCTTGGTCTCCAACTTTGCCCATAATTTTTTTCATAATTTTCCGGAGCTCCACCAAAAATCCGAACATTTTTGGACCTTCCCAAACCTCACTTCCTATTCAAATCATTTGAATTTAAATCAAATGAGTTTGGATTTAAATCTTTCAATCATGGCCTTTTCTATTTTCTCGGAACAAGCACATTTTTGTGAGTCCGGGAAAATTATCCCCATGCGCAAAATCTTTCCCTAACCCTCTCTTTCTTTTCCTCTCTCTATTTCTTTTCTGCTAGAAAATTAGAGGGAGAGAGAAGAGAGCCAGCCCAGGCCGGCCCATCCATCCCCACAGCCCATCTAATCCCTTTAACCCTAGCCCGATCCCCTTTATTCACTCTCTTCCTCCCCCTCGCTCCCTTTGAGCGCCGCCACGCACACGCAACGCCCTATCCCCATCTCCCCTCGCGCCGCCAGAACCCATCGCTCGAACCCCCTTCGCTCGATCCCCAACTCCCATCGATCATTCCCCCGCCTCGTCGTTCCTCAGCGCCTCACTACGACCCCGCATCGCTGGATCCCATCTCTTCCTTCCTCCTCGTCGCCACCAAACCGCCTCGACCTCACCACCGGCAGTAGCAGCTGCTGCTGCACCCTCTCGCCGATGCCGCGCCGGGCCTCCCGCGCCGCCACTGGAGGCCAACTCCGGCGCCCCCTGCCTCACGTCTCCCTCCTCGTGCCAGGGAGAGGAGCTCCCTCTTCCTCGCCGTCCTTCGGCTCGTCATCGCTCCGGCCTCTCCTTCCTCATGTTGCACCACCAGTGTCCTCAACCGCCAAGTCTCGCCGCCCGCTCCATCCCAATGCTCGTCGGAGAAACCCCTCCTCGCCGCCCCGTTGTGCTCCGGAGGTCAGGGCCGCCATGGACAAGCCCCTGCCGTCCCCGCGCCCTACTGCCTCCTAGAGTGTTGCGCCCTCGCCGTTTGTCTTCAACCCTGTCCAGATCCGGCTTGTCCTCTGCCGCTGGTTTCGTGCACCTCCGCTGCCGATTGCATGGACGCCAAGATCCCCTTCGATTTGCCAAGACGCGGCAAACAGGATCGCCCAAGGACGCCTTCATGGATTTCGCCAAGTTCACCGGATGCCTAGTACGACTACAAGACCGTCAACACCAAGTACCCCTTCGGATCGCCAAGTTCATCTACCACGTGTACCACTACTGTCGCCCCGCAGATGTTGGATTTTTCAAGTACCTCTCCAAAAATGAACGTGAACGACTACTTCCACTACGGCCCGTGTACCACTACCGTCGACCCTCGAAGATTCCGTGGACGTCAAGTTCCTCGTCGTGACCCCGAACAACTACGAAACGTGTACCACTACTTCCACGACGTCCCGTGAACGCCTACTTCCTCTACACCGCTCCGAACTCGAACCGCTCCAAAATGCACGCTTCGAAGGTATAACCCCAAGACGACCGCCCGTGAACGAATGAATGTGTGTTGTATGAGATGCTCATGTTTGCACCGTGCCCGTTTGTCCTTGCAAGTTCCTCCTCGTTTGCCATGCCGTCGACCCGTGGGAACCCGGTAATCCGGGATCACCCCACCATCTTGCATGACTCGCTCACGTCACACTTCCGTTTGCATCGGTACCTCCATGAGTTATCGGGACCGGAATGTTGCCGTGGCACCATTTCTGTTTCACCGCTGTGGCACCTTTTTCCTTCCGCCATGGCGACAAATGCCTCGTATCATGCTCATGTTAACGTTTTCATAAAATTGCTTAAAACTTGCATATGTCATCCGCATCATGATAACAACATTTAAAATGTTTAAAATTGTGTTTGCTTTAAATTGCTAAATGACATATGAGGATTTTCTGGAATTGTTGTTTGTTGTTTTCGGCCTCATTTAAACTTGCCTAAATAGTTAGTTTACTTATGCTTCACCCCTTGCCATGTTAATTAACATTTAATAATTGTTGAGTATCTTAACCGAGAGTAAACTAAATAATTTGATGTGGTGTTTTGTTAATATGCAACTCATTGCATATTGAGCTCCACTTAATTTGTAGTGTTGTTTGTTGCACTTTGCCATGCCATGCCTCATTAAACCGGACATGCATCATACTTGTTTGTGCATCATGACATGTTTATGCTTGTGTGTTTACCATATTGTTTGCTTCTTTCCGGTTTGCTTCTCTCGTTAGCTTCGGTTTCATTCCGGAGTTGTGAGGATACGTTCGACTACGTTCGTTTGTCTTCTTCATGGACTCGTTCTTCTTCCTTGCGGGATTTCAGGCAAGATGACCATTACCCTCGATATCACTTCTATCTTTGCTTGCTAGTTGCTTCGTTCTATCGCTATGATGCGCTACCTATCACTTGTTTACCATGCCTCCCATATTGCCATGTCAGCCTCTAACCTTTTTCACCCTTCCTAGCAAACCATCGCTTGGCTATGTTACCGCTTTGCTCAACCCCTCTTATAGCGCTGTTAGTTGCAGGTGAAGTTGAAGATTGCTTCATGATGGACAGGATTATGTTGGGATATCACAATATCTATTATATTATTAATGCATCTATATACTTGGTAAAGGATGGAAGACTCGGCCTTATGCCTGGTGTTTTGTTCCACTCTTGTCGCCCTAGTTTCCGTCATACCGGTGTTATCTTCCCGGATTTTGTGTTCCTTACGCGGTTGGGTGATTTATGGGACCCCCTTGACAGTTCGCTTTTAATAAAACTCCTCCAGCAAGGCCCAACCTTGGTTTTACCATTTGCCTATCTAAGCCTTTTTCCCTTGGGTTCTGCAGACTCAAGAGTCATCTTTATTTTACCCCCCCGGGCCAGTGCTCGTTGTGAGTGTTGGTCCAACCTGTCAGCCGCCGGTGGCCACCAGGGGCAACTCTGGGCTGGCCTACCAGAAGTTTGGACAATCCGGTGTGCCCTGAGACCGAGATATGTGCAGCTCCTATCAGGATTTGTCGGCACATTTGTGCGGCTTTGCTGGTCTTGTTTTACCATCGTCGAAATGTCTTGTAAACCGGGATTCTGAGTCTGATCGGGTCTTCCTGGGAGAAGGTATATCCTTCGTTGATCGCGAGAGCTTATCATGGGCTAAGTTGGGACACCCCTGCAGGGTATAAACTTTCGAAAGCCGTGCCTGCGGTTATAGGCAGATGGGAATTTATTAATGTCCGGTTGTAGATAACTTGACACCAGATCCGATTTAAAACGCATCAACCGTGTGTGTAGCCGTGATGGTCTCTTCTCGGCGGAGTCCGGGAAGTGAACACGGTTTTGGGTTATGTTTGACGTAAGTAGGAGTTCATGATCACTTCTTGAT